ATTGTAAAAATAAAATAAAATGGCTATTTTTAAGAAATGTAACTGACCTAAAATTGAACAGAGAGAAACTTTCAGAAATATTTAAGAAATGCCATGAAATTAAGATTTCAAAGTGACACCAAGGTGAGAACATTTTTGGTTTAATATTCATGCATAAGAAGCTTAATATAAAGTTTTTCATTTCTTGTCTGTGATATTACATTAAAAGACAAAATTTTTAGGTAAACATAAAAAGCTGCTTTGGAGTTACAAGGTTCTCATGTGACAACAACAACAATTCTCTTTAGCTGCTGCTCTGCTGGGCACTCAAAACATTGTGCGAATATATACTTAGATATATTTATGTATATCAAAACAATATATAATACATATATAAAAAGACTCTAATCCAGAGTCTTCTACATAATAGACACCACCACTTCCAGGTAATGCAAGTGCATATAAATTAAAATAGATTTTACACTGAACCAGTACTTCTTATTTACAAGCTTAAAGTATAGAATAAATACACACTGTTATAAACAGCAAAAAGGACCAACTTGAGCTCCTAGTGACAAACAATAAAGACAAAGGTGTGGAGTGATGGGGATAAGGCTGGATGTGGAAGGCAACACATACATACAGAAACACATATGCATACGAAACCTTCCATACTGCTCACAAATGACTGCCACTTAAAGTTTGCTGGAGTGAAATTAGATGACGTACCTTTATCAGCAAACCAACATGAAAATGGAGAGATGTGATTACAGGTGCAACAAGAGCATCCATAAAAACTGTTGCGGAAGCCACATGAGTAAGAAATGTGAGGTCTGCAAGCCATTTTCAAACCATCTTCACTAACACAAACAGAACGGTGTGTTTTTGGTTTATTTTAATACTAGAACAGTCTGCCATGCTGAATCTAGGAACTCAGTCTGTGCTAAATCCTATTAGCCCAACTGTCCCAGAAACCCAATACAGTGGAGGGGGAGGGAAAAAATTATACTGACATCAAGAAGCACTTGAGGGATTTTTATCATGAAGGAGAAATAGTCAGCCTGGTTGATTTGGGGTTGTGCCCATGGAACCCAGGGGGAGGAGTTTGTAAACCAAGTGAATAGTGGTGCCGATGAGGGTCTGTACCTTCCATCATCTGGTCTGGGACTGATTGCAGAGAGGTAGGGGGGTGTTACATCAGACAGGTCTGGTGTCAGGAATTGTTCCAGCTAACAAGATTATTAAGACTCCAGCATACCTGTGGGCTAAAAACAGACCATGGTTGTGCTTTTTGTCCATGGCAGACATAATTTCTGATTTTATGATAGATCGAAGCAGCTTGTTGTCATGACCCCTTTGTGTTTAGTCCTGATTGTTTTTCCTGCTTATTTTATCTGGTGGTAGGTTGTACATTATGATGGTTTGAACTGGGCTAACCTCAATTTCACACCAACACAACAGCAAAAATTACAAGACAACATGATATAAATCAAACATTCTAATAATTTTACATTGAAAATCTAGTACTAATACTTAGCCATATACTGAAGTTGCAAGTGTAGGATTTCATATCCTCACTCAGTATTTTGCATTAAAAGTCAAGTTTTGGTGTGAAACGGTAGGAAGCCCCAGTAGACTGCAGACCAGAGTCTAAGGAAAAATGTACAAAGTAAAAGTAGTTTGAAAATAATTGATGTATCCCAGTGTGACTGTCACACTCATTGACTGACATCTGTTAAAGAAAGCAACAAACTAACTGTATCAGGGACCATGAGTGAACAGAAGTGTAAAGAAAACCATTGTTCAGACTGCGAAACAAGATGTGCATACAGTGTGGATGATCACGTTTCCCTATTTAGATGAGTTTGTCGACATTTGTTTGGATTTCACTATTGCCCAATACATGGAAGACTATTCTCATTTTAACATACAAAAAGATTTTGCTCTTTCAGATAAAGAAAAAAAGTTTCACAGACATACTAGAGTGTTCAATAAATAAAAAAACTATTATAAAGACAATAGTAAAAAAGGCACACAAAAGTCCTTAGACAAATGGTACAGGAAAAAAGTAAACTCTTTCTCTTGCTATACAAACATGTCTCCATCAGTAGATCTTATTCTATGCTACTTCTAGATCATATATCTGTTAAAAAAAGTCTTAGGTACAAAACTTCTCTCAGTAGTGTCAGTGTCCTTTTAATGCCAATCTAGAAAAGGAAAGATTTCCCAAACTGGCCCAAATCCTTCAAGTTCCACCCTCAGTCTCACGTGTCCATCAAGACTAAAATGTTCGGAGTAATTATTTCCTGAGAACTCTGAAGCCTCTTCACTGAGACTGTCCATCCGTGTCTGGCTTCAAACACCCAAGTGCAAGACGCCCCTGTGCGGGCCAAAACTAAGCCCTTGCTTCTGTAGGCTTATTAAAAAGCACAGCTGCAAGAGGATTTCCCCTCTTTTTCTAAAAACTTTCAAATTATCACATGGGCCTGATGATGGAAGCTTTATGTGTCTGTGGGTGACGCCTCATGTGTCACAATCTCTATTGCCGTTGTGGTCTCCATCATGTTGCCCTCCTCGTGCTCCTGACCGTCCAAATAGTCGAGAGGAGGCGATTGACAATCCCCTAAACTATCCTCCTCCTCTTCTAATTCTTCCTCCTCCCCCTCGTCCCCTTCGCCATCTTTCTCTATTCCATCCAAGTCCTCCTCTTCCAAAGTCAGTTCAAACTGAAATTTCTCCCCGCTTCCCTGTCCTCCAGTGCCTCCACTGTGTCCATGCGTACCCTGGTCATAGAAAGGTGGGGAGGGACTCTGAGGGATCATGCTCTGGTACCAGTTCCTGTTGTCCTCCAGTGTGTCCAGAATGTCCTGGGCATCTGGGTGGACCAGATCTGCCCAAGTCTCCCACAGAGGGTGCACGATGTAGTCAATGAAACCCACCTGAAAGAGACAGTGAGTTTCATTTTAGGTTTTAAAGCATGTATGTGAATTTGCACACCCGTCTTTCTTTGTGCATAATTCAGTTTCTGTGCCTTATGATTCCTACCTGGCTCTTCTCCACCGAGGCTGTGTGTTTATCACACATGGGGCTGATTTCCATCCCCCTTTCTCTCTCTCTGTCTCCCTGGTGGAAGAACTCCTCCATTATCCGGTCAGTCCATTGACGGTACAGCTCCAGGGACTTAGTGGGGTTGCTCAGGTCAGCGCAGTGGACCATGTTACGCAGCACCTACAAACAATGCAGAATTATAATTTAGCAAATGTGTGCACATTGTTTTTTGAGAAAATTATTAAAACCTGGAAACAATGAGTTTAATAGAGAAGAAATCCCCGAAAAACCATTCGAGGTAAAGTGTGGAGGGAGCATTTAAGGACAAAAAGAAGCTGGGCAGTCTGAGAAAAAGGACTGATAGTAGGAGCAGAATTCAGCTTTGTAGGAGGTCAGCTAATGATGATTGGCTGAGTGACCTCCGCCAACAGTTAGACTTTCCACACCATGTTAGTTATTTCTGTAATTATTACTTATTCTTTTAGAACTTAAGAAGTTGTTTTGCAAAACACAAATACCAACCTGTATCCTGTCGGTGTAATTGTCCAGCAGCAGCACTCCAGAGCTCGTCACCTTCTTAGTCTCCACCATAGTCTTCAGATCAGCCAGCAGACTCATGTGTTTGGACATGTCAGTGGCCAAAACCTGGGTTAAAAAAGGAGAGGGGGGTAGAAACACAGCCTTAGCGTTGGGACAAGTTGGACAGCTTATGTTTTAAATTAGATGATCGTACAAGAGAACAGAGTATGAATCAGGATGTCCTACCATGTCGATGACCATCTTGCGTAGGGACTGTCTCTGCTTCTTAGTGAGGTTCTGGAAGATATCACAGTTGTCTTCCTGTAATAGCTTGAACCCCACAGCCAAGTGATGGTTCTCCAGCACAGACTCATCATTGTACATCAGTGCCAGCTCAGAGTCTAGACAGAGGTGAAAACAAGATTTGAATATTTTAGTCTTGTCATGACTGATTCTCTTTGATTGTTGAAAGCACCAATTTATGCATTTTTTTTTTCTCAAAGCAACAAGTTATATGACTTGGGGTGCATCGGAAATCACCTATTACACATGTACATACATTTTTCTGTCAAATATACATATGAAAATGCAGTAGGCCCTGCAGCCACTCCACCATCTAATAAGCACAGCCTCGGACATACTACTATGCCTTGAGCCTCTGTTAGCATATGATATAACCATTATACCACATTGTACATCTTGCCACATATAGGTTACTGAATGTGATAATACGAGAACAATGGCTACAGCTGTGCCTGCTAAGTAGAGCTAGCTAGCACATTTTAGCCTACTGCGTAATAGGCAAGTAGGCAATTTGGGATGCACCCTTGATCCCACGTAGAGTAATATTTGCACTTACTGGTATTGATTAGGAATTGGTTTGATACTCCAGGATGGTCAACATCGTGGATAGCTGCAGCAAAGATGGCTGCTAGGATCTCAAGATCTGTGAAGACCGCCTGAGAAAAAGTGATGAGGAAAGGAGAAGGAAAATAAAAATATTATTCTCCCTCTGAAAATAAAAAATAGCACAGAACAGAACAGATAATCCATGCTCACTACCTACTGATTCCCAGAACATTGTGTGTGTGAGAGAGAGATAACAGACCCAGGGCTACGCCTATAGTCCTTGCAATTAAAACATCTTATTACATATTTTTATGTGACAAGAAATGCAGTTATTTGTCATGTTCTTAGCCAAATGACAAGCTAACTGTCTACCTTTCTGGTAGAAACCACTGTGAGACAGTACAATAGTGTGTCCGCCAGTTAGGTACAACTGAGACTGAATTACTTCTCTTTTTTGTAATGACTTACATCCAGGGCTGGTGTTGAGAGGAGGATGTGTGTGGACTGGGCTACATCAGCAGCGTGCAGACTGTTATGATAGGCCACATCTAAATGGTAGTGATCTTCCAGTGTCATCATGTAGGCTACGAACGTATCCACTGGGATCTTAAATGTCTTTAACAGGTCTCGCTCCTAGAGAAACAACATATTATAGTGAGGAATAAGTGTGGGTCACTTTAGCAGTACAATAATCAACCAAAAAAATTAAAAGCAACAATTATGTAACTGAAGACACTATGGGTTTTGTTCTGTATGGCGTTATATAATAATGCTAAAAGTAAAACACTCCATACCTGGAATATGGCATACATGATGCAGGTAAGAGGTCGGTTGTTGGAGTACTCCGAAACTGTAAATATGTTCAGGCCCCACTTGTTCAGATCCTCCAGCTCCTTGGACAGTAGCTCCTCCTTATCGGTCTTGACGCCGAAACGCGCGATGCTGCTGCTGGACAACGAGGGCCCGTGGGAGACCTTCTTGACCCCACTGATCTGTGTCATCAGCTGCTGCTTCTGCTGCTTCTTCTTTTCTCGCGTCTTGGACGTCGGCGATGGGATCTCTACCTCATTCTGTTTGTCTGAGGAAGGGGAAAATGGAAATTGGCAGATTTTTAGAAAGGTGTGGCATTGTGAGAAATAAGTAGTTAAAATTCCCGTTTAACCTCATACAACATGAGCTAGTGTTGTAATATACTTCTCAATAAAAACCGAATGGGATGCTGAGGGACACAGGTGCACTATAGAAGCACCTGCAGTAGGTTAGTTCCTGATAGATGTATCTGTTCATTCATTCAGGATCTGTCCCTCCATTCATTTATTCATTCATGCTCCCTGTCCTCCACCTGCAGTCTCTCTCTAAGCTCCCACTGTTCATTCGTCTCTGTCTCTCTATCTCCCTCGCAGCATTTTTCCCCTCACCTCTTAGCAGGTGGCCACATCTCATCTCCTGTTCTTTCATTCTCATAGGTCAGGCCATTGATAGACTGAGAGCTGTCCATAAAGTCAGCCATTCAGTAAGCTGACATCTTTTTTTAGCTTTAATCAAAGCACTTGGTATAGAGTGGGATTTTTGCATTTGGGTAATTTTATTTACAAGTCTGTTCAATCACATTTGGTCAGGCCACAAAGTCAAAATATTCCTTTGTATTATTTAGACTTATTTTCAGTCTGCACTCTTTATCCAAAAATATACAGAAAACATGCCAAGTTTCTTGCAATAACCAACCAGGCCCTTGTGTTTACTGCAGTCACAGAAGAACTGAATGAAATCCTGCAGGGACTGGCTATCAGCATGTATGTGAGCTGCGCACTCATCTATCAAGCCTCGGTTCAGCTCGTTGCTGGCTTATCAGCCTTCCCCTGTGGAAGGTTATTCAATTACCAGCTGTAATTCAAATAATCACTTTCATGCTCTCTCTCTTGCAGTCTTCTCTGCCTTCCTCTCTGTCTCTCGATCTCTCTTCAAGCCTCCAGTGGTTATTGAGAATGGGCAATTAAACACTCTCAGACATGTGCTGAGTGGGAAACAAGAAGGAGAGCAATATATTGCCCTCTAATTTATTACAAGCTATCATTATCACCACTGCTGTGTGGTATCTCTGTGTGTGGCCTATTCTTGTATGTGAGAGCGATCAGATTGTGAGACTGAAAGGTTTGCAGTGTCATTCTTAACATCCATGTCTATGCAAGTTAGTGCCAGTATACAGTAAGAACTGCAGGCTTAGCTCCATAGTTGATTTGACAGAACTGATAAACTGCTCTGGGGGTTTTTATCACAGTTATCACGATCCTGGTTTAGTATTCCACCAGATTTAGTCTCACTGTCACAGTTTGGTTTGCAGTGTGTCAGTCACTCACATAGACTGTTCCTCTGTTTTCTTTCCTGTGCACTCTCATCAGTCTTTTCTTGTTTTAGACCGTGGTTTTCAAAAACAATCAATTAAGCAAAGAAGTAAATATATGTTGTTTCTTGCTTCTTCTTTCCCTCTCCTATGTCACCTCCCATGTTTACTTCAGTTTCATGTGAATCCTTTTCATCCTCCTCCATATGTTCTGCGGTAGAGACACAGATGTAGTGAGGAAGGTGCGGGGCTTTTGGAGGCTTTTTCCTCCTCAGTATATTCCCTAAGATAGGTGTGTTCTGCTGCTGGATGATCAAAGGGAATTATGACAGAATTACTGTATGCTTCAAGGACAGCTGTGGCACCAAGTGACCAGCATGCAGTCGCCAAACACTCCTTAATGGAAAGCCATAAACAATGAGTGCTGTTTTACCAGTCTGTCCTAGCATCAGCTGAAAAAAGATAGTCTACAATAATCTGAGGGGATTTGGATATAGGAATGACTTCAGCAGAACCAGGCATATGACAGGAAAATGTCACTTCTTTGATCCTAAAAATAGTATAAAGCAGTAATAAGTGCATTACTGACATGATACAAATCTTAATGGATGGAAGGATTAAACAGTCCTGCTAGTCATCTCAGGCCAAACCAGGCCATCTGTGCTGTTTCAGCCATTTTTCCATCCTCATTACCGAGTACCCGTTCTGTCTTTCTAATGCCAGTAGGGTATTCCTGATTTCTTTATTGAGACGATAGTCATCTCTGCCTGTATTCTCAGGGCAGCGAGAGGGGGAGGGAGAGATGGTGGTACAACAAGGTGTCCCTGCTGACAAAGATGCATTAAGATGGGGATGAGTCACCCAATCTGCTGAGCACATCTCACTGCCAGCAAAGGGGGTTCCTCTGTGCCTCTAGTTTCTCCTTCAATGCAGTCATCCCCCTCCTTCCCACGTCTCACTCTGTATGGCCTGGTGGTAAGGGAACTGCCGACAATGCTACACTGGATCAGGATGCCAATTGATTGGAAGCAGTGTCTATAAATAGTCTTAACTACCTCTATGTGCATTCTGTCTGGCACCTATTATCCTCTTTATCAGTCAGTATTATTAGTATTCATTTTCATCTATGCACGAACTTTGTACATCTGTCCTCTAGCTATGGTCACACATTTGTGGTAATATCACATTTACCAAAAGCCCACTTTTAAGCCAATAAATATAGAAAAACTGGTTGATTGCCCCTCTAGCGCTGGTTAACGTAATTTTTTTCATACAATGACCTAACAGTATAGTTTGGTGCCAGGATCGTGAAGCATTTTATACATGTGGGTGAAGGGAAACAGCAGGATCAGTTTCTTAAGATGATAAAAATACAATTCACTCACTCTGATACTGGCTAACAAGCTCACTTGTCAGTCAAATGGCACATTTTACAGTACCCAGCCACCTTAGTAGCTTTGTTATTCCTCTATATACTTTGAGAAATATATTTTTACTTCATTTTTTAATGGCCATTATGAGCCCGATGCACTAAACGTGTAGCCAGAGCTTAATGGCGCAGTGTTTTATGGTACGCCCCCACAGAAAAAACCTGCCAGAGCAACTTGCCCAGTTTAACATTATACAAAAAACCAAATCTTCACAAAAATATTGCAGTAGAGCAAATAGGTTGGTATTTGTGAGAGCCACTAAATATTTTGGATATTTGTATTTTTCTATGCATTTCTTGTGAGCATAATTACAGTCTGCAGTGATTGAAGGTGGATTTTAATGACCAAAGTGGTGAATTTTTGAGTGATTTTAAGTGCATGTACACAAAACTTTCATTTACCTAGGAAGGTGTTGGAGATGAATTCCGAAACCTGATTCCCAGACCGACTCATCTCAGATAGGTGCGTCAACTCCCGATTCAACATTCTCTTGAACTGCAAGAGAGAAAATATGTTGTCAGTTTCCACTGAGGGAAAACCTAGAGGGAATTACGGTACAAAATTTCACAAAGATACAACAGTTCCCAGTCTTTCCTCCAGCAGCTCAAGAATATTATGTAAATACAGTGTAAAATCATTGGGTGACATCTTTTTTAGCCTCCATGTTCCCTGAAATTAATTAGGGTGTGTTAGCAGTGGGGAGGCGATCACCTTTTAATACCCCTCAATTCACCCCCTGCAGCCAATTTACAGTTTTATTGCACTTAGGCACTTTTATGGGGCCTATTTAGCTGTGTTACTTGCGTCAGTGTGCAAGATGTCAAACCTCAGCGCCCTACATTGTCATTTTCATGTAGTTTTTACATTATTAACTGTTTTAAATAGATGAGACAGATATGGGAGACAGATGCCTTTGACACCACACGGAAACCCAGGCACTGCGGTAGCAGCTGTTTTTGAGAGATAGATGCAAGCGCGTGCACACATGCACATTAACACACACATAGGCACATGGCTCTGCAGAGGGCTCAAGATGGAGCCTGAGCCACACAATACCATTCTGTCAGACCCCCTTCACCATCATAAAAATATCTTTTGGTGCAGTTATTCTAGCCAAGTGTCCTGAAATGTTCTAAAAGAACAAGTATGATCAAAATGCCAATTTTCTTTAGAAATAACATTTATGGCAACAGCAACACAGCACTGAGAGCTACAGTGAAATGAGTGCGGTATCCCGACGAGCTACGTAAATGAGCAGCACACACCTTAATGTAACCCCAAGACACCGACAGCAGGTAATTGGCTTCAGGCATTTTGGACCCCGTTTTCTCGTTCCTACACAAAGCCAGAACTGTAATCCAGTAGAAGAAAACCGAGGCAGACAAACAGGATTCTTTCAATGCCAAAAAGGGCAAAATAAATAAATAAATAAATAAAAAATCCCTTCCTGTCTTCCCTTGTGCTTCACTTCTCAGCAGCTAAGAGAGCAGCTCGATGATGGCTCACTCTCCCTCTCAGCAGCAGAAAAGGGCCAGCTCTGAGTCTCCATGCCTGAGGATAGGGGGATAGATGATGGCAGGATAGATGTACGGGAAATTAGGTGCTGTAGCCAGGCTAGGTGAGGAGATCCAACAAGCTCGGTAGATTGGATGGAGCGGCAGCAGCTGGAGCTAGGGACTATCACCGCACTGATGAATAATGGAGAAGCAGCGAGGAAGGGAGGAGAGGAAAAAAACAGAGAAGAGGAGGAGGGAGTGAGGCAGCAATGTTCATCAGAGTAGTGGTGGGGGGGGGTTCCTCCACTGGATTTGTCTTGCTTCACTGCTGTAGCACTCCCTTTCCTCCGACCCTGCTTCTGTCTCACTCCCTCCCCATGTTTCTCAGTTTTTTTTGTTCCCTCCCTGTTCTGTTTTTTCCCCTGCTGTAGTCTGCCAGCCCCAGCAACATGCTCTATTCAGAACACATGATTTGACAGAATGAGGGGAGAAAGAGGGAGCCCTTATTACAGCTTTGCATCGGTGTATATATGAAGTTCTGATAGATGGCTGACTGATATGTCACATCCAGACATGTATTCCAGATTTTACTATTCCTCTTTTTTGGTTTTTCTTTCTTTTTTTTTTTATAGCTATACAAGCAATACAGTTATCTCCCATCCTCTTCAGTCACCAGCCCCCTGTAATCCCTTCTTAAAGCTATTTTTATAAAGTAGACCATTGTGAAGGAATGTCACTGAGCTGTACAGATATACCTCTCATCTACCGTAAAACAATGAAGGTTGAGAAAGGGGGATGGGTCACGTTTTGAGGAATGTGATTCATAGGGACATTATTATCTCCATTATCTCTATTATCATCCGCTGTTCTCATTCTCTCTTTGTCGAGTCTTCTGTTGTCTCCCCCCGAGTATGGTGGCCATTGTGGAGAACTGATAAGTCTGTTCATTATCTGCAACCCATAACAATATTAGATGCTGTCAGAGTGTCTGTAGAGTGCTATTTTTAACAACTGAGAGACAAACACATAGTAGGAGCAGGAAAAAAGACGAAGAGGCAGAAATGGGAGATAACTGCATCCTTCCCCAGCTGGGGAGATTATCTCATGTTTGTTCTCTCTGCCTGTAAGTGTGTCTATGCCAATTACCAGAACACCTCAACACCATGGCAACAGCATCAGGCGGCCACTATAAAGCTGTTATGGATGGAGGAGGCTGTTGTTGACGGGGGAAGAGAAGAGGCTTCCCCTTTTCCTACCCAGGCAGACATGTGGTGTAGCTCCTCAGCTGTCACGAGGACACACCACACACATCGCCTTCACTTGCATCAATCGATGCACAAACTGAAAGTCGTCACACCCCCACCCCGTCTCTGTGTCTCCCTCACTCTCCAACACTTATAAGTAAATTTCTCTCCCACCTGCAACTTGCCAGCATGGTCATCAATCTTTCTGTTTGTCTGCCCTGCAGGTAGAATCAATCGGCTGTCCTTGGAGCAGGTGTTGGTACTGCTGCAGTGTACAAGACTAAAAGGCCACCTGACTGGAATATGCCGTTACATCAGTACCACCGGCCAATTTTGAGGCAAGTTTGTGCTTTTGTCAGTTTTGTCACGACTCTTGTTGGCTGCAGTGCTTCTCGAATAAGAAAACATCCATAGTTCTTGTCACTTCAGAACCAAATCATGGAAAACAGAACAGAAGTTCCTAGAGAACCTTTCAGTCCAACATAAGCGTGTCCGCATGCGTACAAGTTCGGAAAGATGTGGGAGAGATCAAAGCTTCCCTGAGAGGATTCCAGATTATCCTCCCACTGAGGGAAAGAACCAGAAGCAGGATGCAAGCAAAGATGAAAAACTAAAAAGAGAAGGCAGTTCTTTATATAATAGTCTCTGAATAATATATAAAGAAACCAGAAATAACAGCAGGGGGTGTTTCTCTGCAATGTGTTGACGAGCTATGCTTCCCCACAGGCTGAAAGAAATGCCTGCGTGCACACACATATACAGCAAATGCTAGCATCTCCACTTTAACACAGTTGATACCAATATATTACATGCATGTTTACACACTCATACCCATATATTTCTGTATGGGTGTTTGAGTTTATTATTCATTCAGGAACAGAAGGAAAGCCTTTTTAGCTCCTAGTGACATCATGACACTAGATGAAGATTAGACTTCCAGAGCACTGTGGGTATCTCTATCTCACACAGTGATATACTGTACTGTTTATCCTTATTGCAATATTTTATCCATCACATTTTCTCATGCTCAGACATCTTTATTTTCTATTTCTGTTATTTCCTGTCACAACATTTCTACCATCCTTTTTAGTTGTCTTTTTACATCCTTCCTCCCGTCTCCATTTTGCTTTTACTCGTGTTGCCGTTGTGTCCTCCTCTCTCTTTTAGCTCCATATATCCCTCTCCTAACCTTTTACTCTCACACTCCCCCATCCCTCTCCCTCTTTCTCTCGCTGCTTGCAAAGGTTTGGGTTGATTCAAGACAGAACTGCTGTGACGGAGGAAGAGAAGGTGAATGGAGCCTGTGGCATTTCATTTTGGGTTGTGGGGTGGTAGGGGGTGGGATTTAAGCTGTGCTTCCTCCATTCAGACGTGATCCCACCGGACAGCTCCCTGTGGAGGGCAGCCAGGCACACAGGTAGGCTCCCACTGACACGAGACTGAGCTTATGCACTCGCAGCGACGTGCTTTCATTATCTGACTGGTCGCTATGCATCAGATTGTATCTAGCTTGATTGTTCTGTTCTGCTGGTAGTATTTGATCTAATTATAAATATGATAATAGCAGTTTTTAGGCAAAGTACACAGCATTTTTATAAATTGTTTTAAGAAATTTTTTACAAAGTTTTTAACTTTTTGATTAAGTTTTTTTTTCTTGCTACTGTTGGAAATACTTTGCATAAAATGTCAAACATGGCCTGAATCACAAGTCTAAATTCTTTAAACCATTAGTTATTTTCATCTGATACGGTTCAGACTGAAGTTCCTTTGAGCCACTAGTGGGCACACTATGCTCAGTGTGCTGTAGTGCAGCCTGCTCAGTGTTTAGAAGGTACTGACCCCTTTAACCCTGCAGCTAAAAAACTTACAACTTCACTGGAGATGTAAACTATAATAAACAGGCAAACAGTTATTAGTAAACAATTTAATTAATCAAAATTTATTGTGGTGAGGTATGAAATGTTTTGTATAGAAAATGTCACTGGTGTAATTACACTATGCATTTAGTCGCACACTTTTTAACCTCGGCATTATATATTTTTATTTAACTCCTCCAAGCTTCAACTAAAATGAATTATGGTTTCCATAAAATTATGTCTTTTTGCTCATTTTTTCTTATTGCATTGATTAATCAATATAATTCAATTCTTACGGAATGCGCCACTGCTGATCATGACTTCGGCTGTAAGATTTTTTTTTTAGCAGCAAATCTGGAGCAGTCTCTGAACCTGTGCAGTAAGGTCTGTTAGAACGGTCAGCTTTCAGAACAGAAGGCAAAAACCAAGGGAGATAAAAGTGAGCAAGCCGTTTCTCAGCTGAGTGAATCACTCCCATCACTCCCGGCTGTTCAGACCTCAGAAGAGTCAGATGAGGTTTGCAACAACATTTTTGGCTGGAAGAGAACTGTTAACAGGCAGCACAGACACACTTACATAAGCTCTGGTTGCTTTGAAAGCAAAAGGCATTGCAAAGTAATATATGACACAGGCAGTATTACACCAAGCAATCCCTTTAAAAGCCCAAGAATGCTTGGGCCAAAACCTCTTCTGCAAGATTCAACCTTGAAGTGACTGCTCAAATCAATCTGATTGTTCGGTGCCTGGTACTACAGTATGTTTAGAAACAACACTTCTCGCTTGCCTGGGACAATCCAGCAATAAATCTGTCACTTGTATTTTTTAGCTTTTAAAGTGAGCATCATATAAAAGGATGCACAAGGGTCCTCAAAAGCAAAATGCATGCACCACTGTTTCTT